TTCTTCTTCTTCTTCTTCTTCTTCTTCTTCTTCTTCGTTTTCTTCTTCTTCTTCTTCATCTTCTTCTTCTTCTTCTTCTTCTTCTGGCACAATACTGCTGAAATTTGGACATAATATTAAAGACCAATCAAAACAAATTAATGAAGAAATATCATTGTCATGATCAGCGGAAAACTCACAAATAATTATAACATACAAATAAAAACACAATTATTCAGTGGTGATGGTAATGTTCATTTTATCATCCCAAGACTTAGCGCCTGGCAAAAACCAACTGAAATGATAATGCTTAATCAAAGAACAGCAAAGACTTATGACCGTTTCAAGCTGAGGGTCGTGGTTATGATATACACATAGAGCACGCAAATTGATATAAAACAAATATAGAACGGTTATCAAAAGGATAAAACCTTGTCGCCTTGACACCAAAACAACGGAATGAAATGATGAAGATTATCACAACCGAGATATTGTCTTGGAAACCGAATTCAAAATAGAAATAACATTTCACTATCTCAGAACTACAATGATTCATCTGCACAGTACCTAGTTTTCAGAATGTTTACGTCAAAGATTTTGAGTTTCATATTAGGTCAAGCTTTTTCGAAAGCAATTCTTTGTATGTCTTGGTTATGACTCCGAATAATCTTACAGTTTTGAAGGAGCAGATAGAACATTTGGATTATGATATCATGGCCTTAATACCCCAAAATGGCCAAAAAATGAATGACAGAACTTTGTAGTTTTGAGGTAGCGATTTGGGACACAGCAAATTTTTCATCACATTCTTCGGAAACCTTTACCCGACATTTTTCACATAATATACTTTATACAGACACATACTCTTCTTTAAAAATCGCACAAACAGTACAAACAGTGCTATTACAGCACAAAGTTGTTGTATTGTCCATTATGTTACGCACATTTAAATATAGATTGTTCTTGTAGAACGAGCGGAGGCCATACCTCATGTTGGTTTTATCCCATCCCCAACCGTCAACATTTTCCACCCCATTTAAAAAAAAAGAAAGATTTTTATTCCCAAACCGGGAATAGCAAAACTAGTTTTGTTGTATCTTTCACAGTCCATAGCATTCGTTCAACTTACCAAAATTAAGAAGAATGTTGTGAAAATTTAAGTTGTATGAAGTTGAACTCCATTACAGTGAAAAAAGTGACCTCGTCAGCATTCTCTCTGGAGCTCATTTGAGAAAATAAGGAAACAAAAGAAATAAATAAGAATGCGTTATGTTATTTAAAAACTTGTTATTTTTTTTTTCAAAGTCAACCTCAATGCCATCAAGTCGAACTATGGGCTGATTTTTTATCAATCTGTAATGAGACCAAAATAGTCAAAGTGGCCTAATTTAACCCCCGGTTTCATAGTACTTAAGCAATTGAATGCATGCTTCTAGGAAAGTGTGTCACCACAAGGTGTTTTCAGGATCTCGTCATTAAAAACAAACAAACAAAGATATGGTATCATCCCCATGTTTGTTCATATGTCTTGCTTTTGGGGATTAAAATAGCCACAATCCATTATATGATTTTGTATAAAAGTCGAGACATCTGCGATTGAAGGAAATGGCAGTCGCCTGGTGTCAGAGGTATCATATGCAAGACAGGAGCCGCCAAAAGTGTGATGACTTTCAAAGTTTGGGTGTCTTTAGAAACTGCAAATTTACACTGTGTACATCATTGATCGACATTATGCAGAGAAAATCCACCTAAAAGGTGTTGAGCTAAAATAAATCGAGAAAAATTGTCCAGTTGTCGCAGAAATGCCGTTTCTTTTAATTTGATCTTTCTGGGGGGGGGGGGGGGGGGCAAATTCCATTACAGTGACACGAAAATTGTTTGTGGTGGGAGACATGAGACTCAGTAAGATTAACAGCATCAGTCCTCCACGATGACAATGGAAATTTAAAAAAAAAGGTTCGGCTTCTTCTCAAAAATGCCCTTACACCAACCAGCTCTGTGAGCTTACAACACAAGATACCCTGGCTTGAAAAACAGAGCGAGACGTAGACTTCCTGGCTCGAAAACATGAAGTTGCTGTGTCCACTCGATAAAGAACACCACAAGAGACCTCGATCTGACCTTCCTCCAAGACACTTGACATGCAGCTACCATACGATTGCGTCTCCCCGCATCACACACCGGTACTAGTAGTAAGAAAAATATGGCCACCTGTCCAAAACAATCACCTTCACAAACAACCACTTCTCACTTCCCTCTTGCGTTTTTTTTCCATTTTCATATATCATGACATTGTACAAGATGTCCACCTGTTTAAGACAACCAAATTTCACCTAGACAGTGCTTGGCCGCTTTGGACAATTTTGACAGTATATGCGTAGTAGACGTAAACCCACAAGAGGTTGTAACTCTGTATGTTCCCGCATAGGTCTCGGGAAGATAAATTTCAAAAAAATAAAAAAAGATTTAAAAAACGAGCGCACCAAGAGTCGTACGGCAACCTAATGTGACAAATTCGTCAATAAAAGGTGTGCTAGACTGTAACCAATCACTTTGTCTTCCTATTTCATTGGCAAAAGTTAATGACTTTCGTCTGTGGTTGGCGGATGCTCTGGTGTGGTTTTGATCCTTCATTCCTATCAAGCACCTATCGTCTTCATCTCTCCTTCCCCTTTTCTTTGAACGAGTACGTTACTCTCTAGAAACACCTTTAATCTTCCTCACTTATATGACCTATATTAAGTGCTGTAAAACACTTATTAAAACTAGAGTCTTACAGAACTTGCAGCGCATATAACGACATAAGATTTAGAGCTGTTACTACTAGAAAGTAGCATAAAAAGAAAAGAAAGGCGAGAAATAAGGACGATAGATGTTGAATAGAAAAGAAGGAGAAAACTACACCACAGCTTCAGCCGATCAACCACCTTCCAAAACTGAAACACGCTTATCCATCCCGAGCATGTCGGTCAAGGCCATTGCCAGAGGTCACAGGTGAAGGACGACGACTTTGGATATCCCTCAGTGCTTGGTCAAACCATTCTTTTAGTGAGTCCTTGTACTTATCAGATATAGTCTCGTCTTTTTCCCAGCTCGAGCACCTGGCGGAGAAATTTAGAAGTGTCCAGATGATTAGTGTATTATAGTTGGGCATACAAACGTGAATTTCGACAACCCCTTCCCCCCCCCCCCCCCCCCACCTCATCTCTCTCTCTCTCTCTCTCTCTCTCTCTCTCTCCCCCCCCACCTCTTTCCAAAAGGTTCAAGGTAGCAGCCTACGATGAAGTCGCCCAATACATTATTGTTTCATTATTTCTTTTATTTAGTACTACTACTACTACTGCTATTATTATTATTTCTTCTTCTACTACTACTACTACTGCTGTTGCTGTTGCTGCTGTTTCTGCTACAACAACAACAACAACAACTACTACTACTACTACTACTACTACTACTACTACTACTACTACTACTACTACTACTACTACTACTACTACTACTACTACTAAGT